TATCTCCTTAAGATTTTGCTTTTGATTTCTCGGGTATGTATTCAGATGTGGAATTGTTGAACTATATCATAATTCAGCAATGTACAAAGATTCCACAAGCTAACACCTTGTCCTTTGCTTCTTGGTGTGTACATGTTTGTGTGTATGCAGGTCCACATGTATGTGAGAGTACACATATATGTCTTCTGCCTGCACAGCATGTACATACATGGTATGATTACTTTATGGTTGTCCACCTTGTTTTTTGAGAAGGAGTCTCTTATTGGCCTGATAGTTAGCATTTGTCTTTACCTCATCAGATCTACGATATAAAGACTGTGTGTCCTGAGACTCGAACTCACATCTTCATGCTTGTAATACAAACACTGAGCTATCACTCTTGCCCACTTAGGAAAAATACCAGCAGTCCTGACATGTGTGAGCTGATGTTTATTTAAACAATGGAGTTGAATATCTTTTTATTTTTGGTTACAATGTTTTCATATAATTTGGTCATGTTTCCCCCCCAACTCCTCCCAGATCCTTCCAATGTTCCCATCTTTAAGTGTCTTTTGTCCTATCAGTCTTAATTAAGTAGCAGTTCATATATCTTTATTGTGAAAGGGAGACGACAAATATTTTAGGTTTTGGGGGCCACACTCAATTCCATTATTGTAGCAAAAGGTGCCTATGTCAGTAAAATGATATAAAAGCAATGTCAAGCAATATTTGAACCCAGGTTCATAGTTGGCTCACCCTTGCTCTTAACAAGAGGAATACTTGGGCTAACTGGCATTTCATTTCTTTGGTGGTACTTTGAACTCCTTGAGGGCAAGGGCTGTATTGTTACTTCCAGTTTCCTTTGAATATAGCTAGTAATTTCCTCCTCCAAGGAAGAACAAAGCAGGTGGTGTGTGTTCCCTAGTACCCACTACAGAAAGCATCTCAAGAGTCATCAAGAGACAGATTGCCTTCACCTTCTTCTCTCCTTTCTATCCCTACAGAAATGGGAATCCTCTGAAGCCAGTGAGCTGATGTGAACCATCCTCCTGGGGAAGAGCATATAGGAGGTAGACCTGGCAAAGGGAAATCTCTACTTTGGACATCATCATGTGGAACCTTCCACAGTCTATGGCTAAACAATGTTGAATAAAGGAGTTTTCAGGATGGGAGATTCTAGTGTCTTCTATAGTGCTTTTCTTTCTCATAGTTTCCATTTGTGCCTCTCTCTCTGTGTGTGTGTGTACACTTGCTTACAGGTGCACACTCTTGTGAGTGCATGTGTGGAGGCCAGGACATCAGGTTCTTCCTCTATTATGTCTTCCTTAATTGATTTCTACCTTAGTCTCTTGAGACAAGGTTTCTCAGTGAACCTGAAGCTCACTGTTTTTTTTGCGAAGCTAGCAGACAGCAAGTCCCAGCAATTCATACCTGTTTCCTATCCCCAGCACCAGGATTACAGGTATCTACAACTCTGCCCAGCTTTTTATGTGGTGCTGGAGATTTGAACTCAGGTCGTGATGCTTGTACAGCAACCATTCTTATACACTGAGACATCTCCTGAGGCCCTATTCGTGCGTTTGAACGCTTCAGGTTAGATCATTTCTCATTGAAGCTTGCTATATCCTGCATGCATTGGAACTTTTTTCTAGATTACGCTGCCAAAATACCAATGTGAAAGTTGGAGTTTACTGGCCTTGAGAGATCCAAAGCCAAGTGGTCCCCTCCAGGTTCTGAGAAGGTTCTTTGTGGGAACTGCTGGGGCTTTCTTTCCCAAAAGTCCTAAAGTCTTGGCACACTTTGTGGGTACCTTCCCTGGAATAGGTAAGGAATAGAAAGCCCTTGGGTTGTGAGGGTAGACATGCAGGAATTGAGGGGGCCTAAGGAAGACATTATGTTGGAGATGGAATTTGAAAGTGAATCAGCTGCTGCTCCCCCCATTCCACCATGAGCTTTATGTTGGGCATAGGAGAATGCTGCTGAGGAAATGAGTGGAAGGTGGCACAAGCTCGATTTCTGGGGGTGGAAGAGGAGAGCTGGGAGGGAGAGAACGATGGCAGCATCAGCATACACCGTCTCACAGCAAACCTGTCCTTTTTGCATGGGTTCCATGATTTCCATTTTGGAGTCATAGGCCTGAGTTGTAGGCAGGGGTGCCGACTGCCCCTTAATTTCTCTCTTGGATCTCTCTCCCAAGCAGGCTTCCCCACAGCTGCCTAGCCCCAATTCCCTAGCTTGTAATTTGTATTAGGTCAGTCTTGTCCGACACGTTGGTGGAAGATACATTTTGAAAGGCTAACTTATGGTACTCAGAGGTTGCAGATGCCAAGCATGTATGCTGGGACTGTGGCTCTGCTCTACCCTAACCTGGCTGGCCATTCCCTTTTGTGATTGCTATTGTTCCTGTAGGACACCAAGCCAGGAAAGATGATCACCTATGCTTACTGAGCACCCACTCTGTGCTCACCTGGTGGAAGTAGGAGAAAGCAAAGGCAGGGAACACATGAAACGAGGTGAAAGTCAAGAGTCACAGGCTGGAGAACCAGAGAGGAGACAGGTAAAGATAGGATTCTGAGGAAGAACGCTTCACTCTAGACTTGGAGACAGAGCCACAAAAATACTGTCAGTAAGCAGGACAACCTGAGTAAGTGCGTGAATGACAGGGCATGAGTGCAGTTTTGCTGGAATACAGCACGTTAGACGAATGGTCGGGGTTGAAAGGTAAGGTGGGGAACAGAGACCTGCTAAAGCATTGTTGGTAGTGAAATGGAAGCTACAATTGTTTTTGCTTTGGGTCTGACATACCACGTGTAGAGACTGGACTGGAAGAGGGACAGATCATCTTGCTGTCACAGCACACCTGACTCAGGAACTAGGTCAACAGCCACAGAGAAGGGAAGAAGGGTTGAAATGGGAGATATCCCCAGCAGACACACAGGGACCTAACTGCCTTCCTCTGGCCCTGATTCTGCAGAGAGAAAGTACCACATGGGAGAGGCAGAGGCTAAGCTCCATGCTCTAGGCAGCCACTGTAAGCCATCAGTCATCAGGAATCAAACAGGTAGGGTAACCTCTGGCACTTGGGCCCGAGATGAGAGCAAGTTATGACTTGTAGGTGGCTGAGGTGAGGCTCTAGCTACACTCAATGATCTAGGGGAGACTACTTTAATGGTTGAAACCATCTGTAGGGCTTGTGGACACAGTGCCAGCTCCGCCCTCAGTCGCATGTTTGGGGTGTGGCCTGAGGCTGAAATTTCCTGGCACTTGACTTCCTCCAAACTGGCACAGAGGGTGAGTGGGTCTGAGTGAAGAAAGTAAGGAAAGAGGAGTCAGCTGGGTACTTATGGTCTGTCTGAAGGGTTCCTCCAGTCTCTTTCTAATTAAGTCATCTCATCTTTCAGGTCTGAGGAGACACTGCTTCCATGCCTAGCTCCAGTTTTTCCCTACACCATGTTCGCTCATAGGCCCATCTCCTGCTTATGATACTCTGTAATTTTCCCTTAAAAAAGATTTATTTTTATACATATGACTGTTTTGTCTGTATGCATAGAACATGCATACTTGGTACCCATGGAAGGCAGAGATGCACCGCACCCCAGGAAGTAGAGTAACAAATATTTCCTGAGCCTCCCTATGGGTACTGGAAACTGAACTGGGTCCTATACAGGAGGAACAGGTGCTCTTTACCACTGGCCCATGTTCTTTGCCCCAATTTCCCTCGTTTTGAATTTCAGCAGTTTTCCGTTATATATTAGTTATGTGACCCTGCTACAATGTCCATACCAGACACACAGGATCTAGGCTGGCTGTACTCACTGCAAACAGCAGCACCCACTGCAAATGTGTAGACTGTAGAGGTCAAGGACAGCTTCAGTTGGAGTCTTCAATACCTCCTGCAGGCCTGTGTGTTGAAGGTTTGTACTCCATCTCCTGGTGTGGCTGGGAAGTGGTAGCTCCTTTAACAGGTATGGCCTAGACGGAGGTCTTTGAGGTATTTCCTTGAATGGGATAGGGCACCACAGTCCCAAAAGCAACAGAGACAACCAACCATAGAGTAGGTTCTTAAAAACATTTTTTTTTTTTGCTTTTAAGTTGTTGATGTCAGATATTTTGTCACAGTGACAAAAGGCTTACAGAAGAGAAAGACATCTTTAGTCCATAAGCAGTTAAGATTTTCAAAGGAGTTTTAAGGCATTTGGTTTTCTGTTTGTTAGCTTTCTTATCCAGTACTTCTGAGCAACTCCTAAGCTCTGTTCCCATCTAAGGTGCATCTTTCCTTTCTGTGCTTACTTCTTATTCCTTTCTAAGTATGTCCATTAAATGTTCAGTTCTAACTCATTATTATGCTACTTACTACTCTCTGGCCTCCCATGTAGAGCAGGCCAGAAGATTTTCTGGATCCTTGGCCTCCACTGAGTAAATCCTTAGTTGTATGAACCACCGCAAGTTGTCCAGACCTACAGAATAAAGGTTATTCCCTGCCTCCCTCTTTAGCTTATTAATGTCCTACTGCTTCCCAAACTAGCTTTTCCACTTGTGTCCTCTCCTGAAGTGAACTTATACCAGGAAGTGCAAGGTACACTGTTACTTCATGTATGGTCAAGAAACACAACATGGGAGATGGTTTGATATGTTTCTGTGAGGCGAGCTGCAAGGATGTCTGAAGCCCATTAAGCATCATCTCATGAAGGAGTTTCTACTCAAACATCACGGAGAAGAAAACCACTCTCTCCAGCTTATTGCTAACCAGCCCAGTATTCCACGTTACTAGGAGCTAAGCAGGTAACACAGCACACAGTGGACAATATTAGCACACACTGTATCATATCACCACTGACAACTAACGACCACCACTAGAGTCTACGGAGAAAAGGAAATGTTTTATGGCAAAACAATGCAGGCAGACACTGGAACCAAATGAAAGAGACCCTGACAGTATGCAAGGCAGCAAGGGGCCAGGAGTGGATTTATTCTTAGGGATTGGGTCACAGTCGTCAACACTTCTAACAATTCTACTGTGATCATAAGTCATAAGAACTGCATGTCTGAGGTCTTACTTTGTGTTTACAATTTCTGATTTTGCTTCCATTTTTAAGAATGTGAACAAAATCTTGTGGTTTTCAATTTAATGTTGGTATACTCAGGGCTGTCTTTATGAGAGAGATGTGGGGGGAAGGAAGAAAGACCAAAGCAGTGTCTGCCTGCTCTAAGGCCAATACTATCCTGCAAGAAATGTCTCCTGTTGTTACCTCCTCATGGAGGGACTCGGGTATGTTACCATTTAACCAGCAAGGGGAACATAGCTCAGAAGAAACTCACGTAAGGATACTGACATATTAGAAGAGAGAAGAAAAAATTATTGATGTGGGCATTTGGGCACATCACTTGCCCTTCCGCAGGTGGTGGAAACTCTGCACTGTCCTTTCCACGGCGTCATCCATGGTGACCAGTGGCCGGTACCCAATGAGCTTTTTGGCTTTCTCACAACTGTAGTAGTGGAATGTACCAGCCAGTGCCACACGCATTGGTGTAAAAGTTGGCTGAATTTGGATGAGAGGACTGACCACCATCACCACCAGAGAGAGCAGGAAAGCAAGGTAGTAGGCCACCCAGTATGGGATGTGGTACTTGGGGGCCTCATAATTGAGGCCTGTCAGCATGCGGGACAGGAACGTCCAGAAAGGGATTGGCTCATCATTGGTAATGTGAAATGCCTGGGTAAAGGAACACAAAGTTAGAGAGGCCTGCACAGCGACTGGAGGAAATAGGCCACATATGGGTCTCGAAGTTCAACTAGCTACTGGCTCCCCTTACAACTCCTACTGTGGAAAAGCAGGGTCACTGCCTTATCTCTTTTGCAGGGGCAGACACTAAAAGGGACATGTGAGTTATGAGGCCTTACATGCCTAGCTACTGCAGTATATCACACTCTGTCTTAGATTCTCAGAATGGGCAATACATAAGGGCAGAGAGGGAAAGTGATATACATTCTACAAAGAGGCCAGGACTATAAGTGAAGTTTAGCTTGCACTTAGGACGTTACTTTTGGTCATTATAGTCCATGGTAAAACTCTACAGTTTTATCTTTGGATGTAACAAATGGTACCTATTAGATCTTTCAAACACGTTGTTTGTTCTAAACCAAAAGTTGTAAGTGGGAAAATAGAAAAGGTTCACAGGGAGAAATGAGCATGAATGCTCAGAAGGATTACAGAGTTCGCAGTGAGAAACAAGGAAGACAGTGAGCCTGAGGTGGGGGTAACAGAGTAGACCCTCTCAACTCTGCTGAGTTCTGAGTGACTGCATTTATATCACCTGCTAGAGGAGTGTCAGGCCTGAGCAATATGAGCCATGTATGGGGGGTGAGGGAGGATAGAGATCTGAAAATATGAGGAGAAAAGCGAGGAGTAAGCATCTGCCTAATGTACACACGATTAGGCCTGGAGTGAGCATGGGGTTATAGAGAAGGAAGTCCTGAAGCTCGGGTCCTAGATATTGGCTGTTCAACGTAACCTAGAACTTTCCCAGTGGGTGTTAAAATGCTAGGAGAAGCAACTGTCTTACCTTCCCACCCAGAGCTGCATCTTGGGATAAGTGCTCAGCTGCCAAGATATGTCCATGGACCACATTCTCCACAAAGGTGAAGTCCACCAGGTTCTCCCCATTTCTGTAGGTACACAAGAAATATTACAGTTGTGTTTGGCTGCCAGCCCCACAAAGCCCTAGCTCTGAGGCATTTGAGAGACGAACCCATTTCTATTGTAATAGTGCCTGCCTCTGGTACTGAGTGATTGCAACTACTGGGACCTTTGGGGCAGTGCTATATTGCATGAATGTGAAACTGTGGTGCCCTGCATAATCAGCACCAGTGTGTCTTCTTGGGCTTTGATTTGGTGTATAGATCTCGACCACTTTCCCAGGGTACACCAGGTCAATGGTCTTCCAGTTTTCTCTTGGCCGTCTCTAAGATCCCTCAAAGTCTTAAGTCAGGGCATCAATAACATTTAGTAAGTAAAGGAAGACATGGCGCTGGGATAAAATGTGAAAGGCACCAGGCATATTGGCTTATACCTTGAATCCTAGCATTAGAGAAGCAGAGCAGGAGCATCTCTGAGTTTCAGGCCAGCCTGGTCTACAGAGTGAGTTCCAGGGCAATCAGAGCCACATAGTAAGACCCCATCTCAAAAAAAAAAAAAAAAAAAAAAAAAAAAAGAAAAGAAAAAAGAAAAGAAAATTGATTCAAGAAAGGGCATGGTTAGCAGCCAACCATACTTACTATCATTCTCTACTTTTTAAACACACAGTAACTGCCTTGTACATGCAAGGAGTCAAAGGGTTACTGCTTCCCTCCAGAACTTCATATTCCTTTGTGTGTGTGTGTGTGTGTGTGTTCAAGACAGGGTTTTTCTGTGTAGCCCTAGCTGTTCAGGAACTATCTCTGTAGACCAGGCTGGTTTCGAACTCAGAAATCCACCTGTTTCTACCTCCCAGGTGCTGGGATTAAAGGTGTGTGCCACCATCACCCAGCTCACTTCTTTAATTTCTAAGCAGGGACACACATCTTTTCCCGGTGTACCTGAAAGAGTATACAGAACTGAATAATATCCTTCCAAAATTTATACTCCTTTGGAAATTGTGGAGTTGATCTTATGTTGAAATGGGGTCTCTGCAGATGAAATCAGTTAAGGTCAGACAAGGGTAGAAGTCTTGGCTCAATAACTGGCTCAATAACTGATGTCGTAATAGAAAAAGGGAAACTTGGCAACATATAACACAGAAGATGGTCATGTGTAAAGGCAGGAAGAGGCAGGAGGAATGAGTGCACTGCCACGCAAGGAGCAGCAAGGAGTACCCCATAGAGGCTTGGAGCATAATTCTTCTCATAGCAGCCAGGAGCCAGGCCTGCCAATAGTTGCATTTCAGACTTCCATAACTGAGAATTAATTTTTGCTGTTTTAAGAACTATTTGTGGGAGTTTGGGATGCCAGTTCCAGGAAATCAACATGGAGGGCAATAGACAACATCACACATGTATGGTCTGAATGTTTGTGTTCCCTCTATAGTCTTGTTAGAACCTAATTCCTACTGTGCTTGTGTTCTGAGGTGGAAACTTTGCAGGGCAATTAGACCATGAAGAGCTCTGCCCTCATGAATGGTGTCAATGCCCTTATAAAAGAGGCATGAGGAAGTCTGTTTGTCCCCTGAATCACATAAAGTACAGAGCAGGTAAGAAGATTAGACTCTTAGACACCACGTTTACTAATGGCTGATCTTGGACTTCTCGATCTGTGAGCTGTGAGTTACTCTTGTTTGTGAAGTCTTCCAGGCTAAAGTATTTTGTTACAGAAGCCTGAACAGACTCATAGTATTACACGATGCTGCTTGGCATTCTCAAATTATTATCTGCATTTGTGCTCACACAATCTAAAGGGGACAGAATGTCAATGGTAGTTGCCTTACCCAATCATGAACTTCATTTTGCCTTTTCTAGCTGCATCAATTAGGATGGGGACTAACTGTGGGTCCCTTGGACCAAAAATGCCATGAGGACGAATGGCTGTGGTTAAGAAATTCTTCTCAGGGTTGTTGGCATCCAATACTTCCTGAAAGAGAGCAGGAGGGAAAGGGTCCACTGTAAGACTTCTCCTGAGCTAAGATGGTACCTACTATGTGTGGAATATTTCCCATTAGGACACAGATCAATGACATACTTGGTGTATGTGCAGGCCACTGGATAATTGTCTGCCTTGGGACAAGATCTCACACTACAATTCTGTATCCCATCTAGCCATGAAAAACCAACAATGAAGGAGAAAACTGGCTTAACACATGAGAAAGCTCAGATTGTGTTCAATGGCTATGAATACATGCAGCCAGAAGGTATATCCTATCTTAGATTTATAGAAAAGGTCTGAGAATTTTAGTTAATGAGGTAGCTTGACTCCAGTAAGGCTGTTACCACCAAAAGAGCTCCTGCATTCAGTAGCATGTGCAAGGCTTCAAACATACTCATCCACTATGTAATAAACAGTTCAGTCAAAAACAGACACATATAGTTGTGAAGTTAGCTCAGTTAGCAAAGCACTTGTCTTTTAAGCACAAGGACATACATACATACATACATACATACATACATACATACATACATATATATATATATATATATATATATATACAGATTATAGTCCTAGCTACTTTAAACTAGTTATCAATTGAGTGAAAGCAACCAGAGCTTCCTGAACCAACTCCCTTCAAACGCTGCTAAGTGTCTGTAGTGCTGAGGGGAATGACCAAGCCTTCAAATGGCCTCTAACATGGCTATCTCTATAGAGTTTGAAAAGTTGCTACACCAACCCCAAAAGTCCATGCCAGTGACATGTTGATGGATTGAGCCCGGGCTTCCATCTGGAGGTCATGAGCCAACTCAGCTGTGGGTTGGAAACCTAGCACCTCAGGAGCCAGTGCACAGGGCCTCTGGGTTAACTAGTATTATCTGGAGGCCCATGGTAGGCTTTGATTTCCCTTAAGCCTAGTTCCACAGAACAGGAGGGCATATCCTGGACATAGGACTTCTTAAGTAGGTGAGGACAGGCTCTGCTGTGATTTCCATGTGACTATGCCCTATTCTCAGATGGCAGTGAGAACAAGCAGAGCAGTTCAGTGTAGAGTCTCAGTTTCCAAGTACTGGCTTAGAGAGCAAACCTCAGTGTGTGATGTGCTACAAAGGCCTAGGAAACAAGGCCACTGCCTGTAGTGGGATATTCACTTTGTCTCCTTCTGTGGCACTGACCACGCCCATTGGGGGGTGGAGCCATGGGCGGAAGTGACCTGTGGAAGGAGGTCGGAGGGGGCCAGGAAGGGGCTCTCTTTCTGGCGTGACTCGGACAGGAGAGGATCGGGTTGAATTTCCTGGTGTTCATCTGTCTAGGTTGTAAGTTATTTCTCCCTGAATAAACATCTATTCGGCCTATTTGTTTATCCTGATCCTTATTTACCGCAATAACTGCCCAAGTAATTGTGGGGCACAGGGGTATCCTAGCCCACAGTGCAGAATTTCCAGTGTCCTGGCAACCTCAGTGCTCAACCCACAATTCTGCTCAACAGTTACATGGAAATTATGGAATCCCTAACAAAGACTGGATCCCTCTGTGTATTTCCCTATAATCTAGAGATGGTAAGAGTGCCTATATATTAGATCATTTTGGAGTTTAAAGGAAGTAGTCCCCATAAAATACTGAGAACAGTATCTGGTCACAGTAAGTCATTCTGTCTTCTTGAAATTTAATTCCACACATGAATTTATATCACACGCTGGGTATTTAGGTCTCAAAATACTAACTTTCCCATGTTCACAGACATTTTTTCTTATGAATGGAAACAGTGGATGTATTTGTTCATTCAACTAGCTTTAAAGTACATACTTTCTCCTGCAAGATCTTGGTCTCTGTGTAGTAGTCAATGGGCTTCATGGCATAAGGGAGGTCTTCAGTTCCATTTTTTATGTCAACACCCTCAAAGACGACACTGGCACTGCTGGTTAAAATGAGTTTCTGGCAGAGAAAGATTTAAAGTACAACACAAGTTAGGAATCACTACTATTCCAACTGCCTAAGGGTCATATATGAGCAAGCTCCATCCATAAGGCACTTCCAAGACACTTGCTGGAGTGCCTTTTCTTTTAAGTCTTCTAAGATAAAGCCAAAGATAACCACTTTTGTAGCCATAGGGACTTTAGACACATTCTAGTATTATACTCTAAAATACGTGGGTCTTTTTTTTTTTTTTTTTTTTGCCATCCTATCATGAGGAGAAAACAAAACTAACTCTATTCATGGTAGCTTACTATGGGAGAGAATCTCTATGGAAGGAAGGATGGACTACTAATCTGTAGGGAAATTTCTGCTTGCAAAATCCCACGGGATACTCTAATACCAATCCTGCCAAATGAACACTAACATCTGCATATACACCTAAGTCATGCTTTGCTACCAGAGCCAAGCACCTAGCATGTGTAAGGCCCAAGGTTCAGTCCGCAGCACCAAATTACAATAAAGGAAGGAGGGAGGGAGGGTAGGAAGGCAGGCAGGCAGGCAGGCAGGCAGGCAGACAGACAGACAGACAAGCAAGCTAGCTATAATTTGAAGGAGGATGTTCTCTTTTGCAGGTCCCCAGATTACATCATTCTGGTTAAGAGTACTTCATCTAATACTGACACCATTAGCTCCATTAGATATACCTTTACTTCTTTTATTCTGCAACATTCTACTGGTCCTAGCCAGAGTGGTAGAAGACAAACACCAATTTATAATGTTTTTAAAACTAGAAACAACCCTCCTAATGCTGTGACCCTTTAATATAGTTTCTCATGTTGTATTAACACTCAACCATAAAATTATTTTGTTGCTACTTTATAACTGTAATTTTGCTACTGTTATGAATTATAATATAACTATCTGAAATGCAGGATATCTAACATGTGATCCCAGTGAAAGGGTCATTCAACTGCCAAAGAGATCATGACCCATAGGTTGAGAACTGCTGTGTTAGTAGATGATAGAAATAAAAAGATACAATACCTATGCAAAAACATGGGCATACGTACAGAAAATATTAAGAGTTTGACAAAGTAGCTGAATTAAAAATCAATATAATTAGGAGCTGGAGAGATGGTTTAGGTTAAGAGTATTTAGTGCACTTGAAGTTAACCTGAGTTGGGTTACCAGCACCTATATTACATGGCTCACAATAACTTGTAACTCCAGTTCCAAGAGGATTTGATGCCCTTGGCCTCTGAAAGATGCCTCTGCTTCTGAAAGCCCCTGTACAGGCATGTGTACACACACACACACACAATCACACACACACAGTCACACACACAAATAATTACCAAAAAAAAAAACCCCAAAAAACCATAGGACCTCTCTCTTTCTCTCTATATCTATACATACATACATACACACACAGACACAGACACACACACACACATACATATATGAAAATTGGTAACTGAAAATGTAGGATAAGTTGGTGATTAACAAATGAAGGGGTACACAGGAATAAATTCAACAAAATACGTATGAACCTTTATGAAGTACAGTACAATTATCACTGAGTGGGAGATATTTCACATTCGTAGATAGAAGACTCAATGTTAGAAAGTCATCAAATGTTTTTTTTAAATTACCCAGAACATAAATACAATTGCAGTAACAATCCCAGCCAACTTCATCAAGGACCTTGACAAGCTGATTCTACAGTGTCTGAGAAAATTTGAACAAAAGGCTCAGAGCAACTAAGGGATCATTGAAGAAGTTAGTCAGGTAGTATGTCCTACTACCTATTGATACATATGCTAAGGTAGAGCCTGCATAAGAGGACACAGGTCAGTGGAGCAGACAGAAAACCTAGGGAGGCAGACACAGGTGGATCTCTGTGAGTTCTAGGCCACCCTAGTCTACTGAGTGGGTTCCAGGACAGCCTCCAAAGCTACAGAGAAACCCTGTCTCAAAACACCAAACAAACCAAAAACCTAGGAAAAAGACTCAGGCAGTACAGGATGACCAAAGTATGCTGCAGGCAGCATATATTTACACAAATGTTTGATTAAGCAATCAGCATGTTGAACTGATTATTTGAAAAAAAAAAAAGATCAATCTCGACCCTGTTGCATATAATTATAGATTTCTGGTTAATTAGATTTAAATATGGGAAGTAGCACTTTAATATTTCAAATAAAATGCTTTGAAGACCTTTTTGTTTTTGGTGTTAGAGAAAAATGTTCCCTAAATCAATTTCTTTTTGACCTTACACACCAAGCTAGCTACCCTCTCAGAGGATGAACAAGAGTTATCTATATCAAGATGCATAAAGCTCAGAAACTTAATATTGGTAGGAAAAAGTTTCAGAAAGACATGTTCAGTATGATATTATTGCTATAAAGTTCTACAACATGCAAGATAATACCTTATACTGTAAGTGCATGGAATTGACAGAAATAACAAACCCAGATCCAGAACCATTGCCCAACATGGGTTAAGAAGGGGCAGTGGCACTGAGGAAGGGGGCCAGCTGGCTTCAGCTATGCTAGTAGTAAACACTCTGCCTTTTACTGTTCTGTGTCTTTGATCTAACCCACAGCAGCACGGGGCTTCACAGATCTCCTAGAGTGGAGTGGCTAGAACTTGGCAGCAGAGGGGCTGCTTTGAAGCCCATCTCTTTTATTTACTACCAGCAGCTTTGCTTTGCCCCTGGCTACCTAAGAAGAAAAGTAGGTGCCAAATGCAGCACAGCAAAGTTCTTGTCAAGCAGACATTCTGACATATTAGAATGTAGAGAAACCTTACAGACATTGTGATTAGTAAAAATAACCACAGCACAAAAAGGATAAAAACTGTTTGAATGTACTCCTGTGAGCTTTCCAAAGTAATAAAGATATAGACTAGAGAATAGTGGCTGCCAGGAGCTAGGGAAGGGCTGAAAAATGCACAACTTCTGTTTACTATGTGGCTAGAGGACAGTGATAATGGTTGGACAATGAAGCGAATACGGTAAATATCACTGAGTGCATAGTTGAAAAGGGGTGGTTAAATAGCATATTGGAAACATTATGTACATGCTGTTTCAACAGAGAAAATAAGCAATGTCTTCTAAACTTCATAGCTCTTTCAGCAAAGACCAATAAACCTTAGCCAATCTGAGCACTCAGATGGTCTATCCATATTAGAAGAGTATAACCCCCAAATGGCCCTCTGTAATATCAACTGGTACCTAGGGCTTAATTTTTAGTATCTTTTCAATATGAAAGAGGCAACCCTGGATTAGCCCAGAAAGACAGTAACAGAAACCACTCCACCTCCCGTCCCTCTGAAAAAGTAAGCACATGCTCCCGATACTAATCACTCAAGCATTCCCCTTACCTGAACCCCGGCCTTTTTGCAGGTTTCAATGACATTCTTGGTGCCAATGAAATTCACTCTATAAAAGAGTTCCTTGTTGTTACTGGATGGCGGTGGTGATGCACAGTGGAAAACTGTGCTTACACCTTTCAGAGCTGGGTACAGGTCCTGGAAAAGCACACAAACACAAAAGAATCAATCCAGCCTAGGACAGGTCAAGAGGCTTCTCACATTCTCTGTCATCTTTGGCCTGTAGGGCTTTTGGCTTTTTGTAATTATATAAGCAACATAGACACATAGTGTGTTTCTTTTAAAAGACTCAAACTGTACAGAGCATGTGGGATAAAACCACATTTTGTTTTAATTGTCCCATTTAATTATCTTGTCTTGAAGAAAAAGGGAGTATGAGAAACCAGGCAACGCAGTAACTAGAAGATGTATAAAGCGAGTCAGTTTCACTTACTTCTAGAAGGAACCTCCTAAGACAAACAGGTGGCTGCAGATCTGGGACAGTTAACTCAATGAACCAAGAAGATCTTGCTTTATCTTATCAGGAAGTAAAGAGGCTATCCAAGCCTACTGGGGACTTAAATGATTAAAGTACCAATATACAGAGACTCCTAGTGGTCATCAGTAAGAATAAGAGTTCTTATTGAAAGTGGAAAAAAATTAAATTAAAAAAAAGTGAAAAAAAGTGGAGAATAAACTGATTAACTCCTGAGGAAAATGATCTGACAGGCTAACAGAACAGAACGACAAAATGTCACCATAGTGCCAAATCTCCACAAAGTAGTAGGCCTTAGATATAATTTATGATTATCATCATAAGAAAGAAAATCACCAGGTGCCACAAAATCCTTTGTCATTATACACAAACATTATAGTGCTGGGAAACTATTTGAGAGTAAAATGCATCTTCGAGGCATATAGATTTTTGCCCAAATAACTATCAAATGATGAAATAGTAGGCCCATTCCAACATGTAGGATATTCTTTTTAAAATTAAATTTTACTTGTGTGCACACATGCGTGTGAGTGCGTGCATGCGTGCGTGCATGCGCGTGTGTGTGTGTGTGTGTGTGTGTGTGTGTGCGTGCGCACATGTGGTCTGGATACGAGAAGATGATGTAGGATTTTTTTCCCTTCTCCTTTTTTTTTTTTTGAGACAGCATCTCAACTATGTAACTTTGGCTAGCCTGGAACTTGCTATTTAGACCAGGCTGCTTTCAAAATCACAGAGATCTGTCTGTCTCCACCTCCTACACTTTAAAAGATATCTTGTTGCTTCAGGTAGGTTGGCTGGGCAATAAGCTTCTGAAATTCACCCATTCCCACCTCTCTAATGCTTGGCTTTCATGACCATGCATAGCTTTTTATTATTTGTGGGTTTGGGAGATTTGAACTACTACTTTTAGAGCAAGTACTTTTACTCACTGAGCCATCTCCTTATCTCCTAGCTACTTTGAAGTAACAGTTACTTCATATTTAAGCTTCCCTAACCATTCTGACATTCTATTTTATTTGTGGGTTTAGGATCCAAATGTGGACCATGCATATACAAGAACCTTGTATTTTTTTTCCATTTCTGTTAATCTGGAGCAATCCTTGAGTTTTGCTTTCTTCATGTAGTGAGATATTCACTCTGTCTGCACCTATTGTACTGACCACGCCCACTGGGGGGTAGGGACAGGTGCAGACGTGACCTGGGGGGAACTAGGTCTGGGGGAGGGGACCCTGGAGGGCTCTTGGTTCCTGGACAGAGACAGAGGGCATCTGGAGGCATCCTTAGGACTGGAACCTGCTGGTGTTCATTTGTCTCTGTTGTAAGTTATTTCTCCCTGAATAAACTTCTATTCAGCCTATCTGCTTTCCCAAATCCTTATTTTTCCATGTTATCTTCCTTTTGTAACACTGTAATATTTCACATGATCAGAGAGGTTAATTTATGGACTTATGCTCAATTTGCATTTGTCTGTTCCTTTACGATTACGTTCAGGCTTAATAGTTGTGGCAAGCATTCCACATCAGTGTTAGTGTATTCTCTTATCATGGCACTTCTGTTTAATGCCAAGTTGGATCATTCAATGAATGTAATGGCTTTCAGATTCTTACCATATCTGTGGGGTGATAATTCCATGGACTGGTTAGGTTATAGCATCTACTGATGGTTCTGTCCTGGAACATTTCTCAGCAAATGGTGACATTCTCATTTAAGGGCACCCTATGCATTTATTGAGTTGACATCCTCTGCCAAATAAGACTTCTGTCTACCCAGATTTCCTTTTTAGTAACTACGGATGCATAGATTCCTTTAATAATGTGCTAGATAAGAAAATTTATGCACCCACAGTTAATACACTCCCAGATTCCCTTTATGGTTTTGTTTAACTTGTGCATGTGCTTAACAGAATTTAGGTAAACACATTTACTGACTCATTATAAAGGAATTACAAAGGATACAGGTAAAGAGATGCACAGAGTGAGGCATTAAGGGAGTGGTGTGGAGCTTCCACACCCACCCTGGGTGCCCGGGCCTCCAGTCTCATGATACGAGCGTGACTGAAGCATAGGCATGAGCAAAGCAAAGCAAAGCAAATAATGAAACCCAGCAAGGCCTGTCTGCTCAGATTCTTCTTGGCTGCTCTGTGTAGCATTCTTTCCTTCTAGGTATGGGGATGGAGCCCTTCTGACACTGGGTGGGGAGAAGAGCACAACACTCATTTTTAAAAGATGAATTGTAGTTTCTATAGCCAGTCTTAGAGAAAAAGGTGTGCATTAGGAAATGTGGATGGAAACACTCATTCTTCTATTTACTATCTCTCTCTCTCTTGTGTGCGCGCGCACACACATACACAAGCATAAGGGTTTGACGGGGTGACCTGAACCACACACATCAAGTTTTCAGTTCCATAGAAATAAATGAAATTGGGTGTGATGCTTCATACTTGCAATCCCAGCATTTGGGAGGTGGAAGCAAAAGGGTTAGTGTGACTTTGAAGCCAGTATTCTTGACACAGTGACTTCCAAGCTAGCCTAGAATACAAAGAAAGACCCTGTCTCAAAAGAAGCGTGTGTGTAAATCTATCAAAGATCAGATTTTATAGCGCCTAGACACAATCAATATAAAATTATTGAGATACTTATTGGTATCAACATTATTTTAAAGTGCCTCTCACTGCAGACTTATCTCAACTGAAGTGCTAGATGGTCATACGTGTTGTCCAGTGGCTGCCTTACTGGATAATGCAGTCCTAGATCTACCAAAAGACATGGAGGCAACTCTAAAAAGTAGTAGGTGGGGCTAGAAGGATGGCTCAGTGGTTAAGAACAGCAGCTGTTCTTGCGAACCTGGGTTCAATTCTCAGCACCAACATGGTGGCTCACAGCCATCTTTAACTCCAGTTCCACAGGACCTGATGCCCTCTTCTGGCCTCTGTAGGCACTGCACACATTTGGTACATAGACACACATACATGCCAAACACCCACACACATAAAATAAAAATAAATAAAATCTCTCAAAGTGGTATTTATATATCTTAATATAGTAGATCTTAAACTACTTTGAGCCTTTCCTTTCAGTTGGCAAGCATCTTTTTCCATCTGGTTGTTTGGAAGGTAGACCAGGAACTAAATAGAGTGTATTGTGAGGGGTTCTTTGGCTGGCAGCTGGGATAAGAGCCTGTAGTTCCAGCACTAGGAGGCTGAAGCAAAGAGATCATTTTTAAGTGTTCCCCTGGCATGTTCTTTCCTTAGCTCAGAATTCAGGATCCACTGTTAAAGCTTTGCCTTATTCCCCTGACCGTTTATCACATTTGTTTGGCTAATACCTGCTCTGGTTAATGAACCATGTCCCCAGTCCATGCATGTACCTAAAAGGCTGAGCGTCACTACAGAACATGCTGTGTTGGGAGGTCTTTCTTTGGAATCAGATACAGGTGTGGGAAGGCTTTTTACCAGTGCTGGGGCTACAATTTGAAGGTGATTTTGATGTATCACCCCAGTGACTGCATTCAGCACTGCTTCAGAAGTTTTGGGGGAACACCAACAATTAGCTTCATCACACAAAAGAACAATATCCTTGCTACTCTTGGTGAAGAAGACCTTAAGAACAAAGAATGTTTCTCTTAAGAGGCAGGGGTTCCAATCAGTGCACCGTGTCAGTTCTGCCCGTTTCCTGCCTGTCCCAATAACTTCACACTTGCCCCCACGATCACTGTCTTTGAATTTAATCTCAGTCTTTCTCTCCTTCTTGCTCTATGCATGACCCCCTCCCCCACTGTAGATTGTCTCTCTGGAGAACCCTGAATGACACGTGACAAGAAGAGTCTGTGGCAGGGGGATGAAAGTTATATAGGGACAACAAAGGGGCTAGGCAGCCAATACTGGTGAGGACACAGTACAGAGAGTGACAGTAGAAATGACAAGAGTTGGTCCTGCTGCAGTAGTAGAGGGCAGGACTAGGATAAAACAGTGCCCAAAGTACAGTGTCTGTCATTGAGAGGACAGGCTTATCGTGGAGGACAGGTGTGGGCTGGGGAATGACAATGGGAGTAGAGGACTAGAGCATTAATTGCAAAGGAAAAGAGACAAAACCAGTGAGGTTATCTTCTTAAGTATCCAATTTGACAATAGTACCCGAAATGCTGATGCGGCCATCATCAACAAGGAGCTGAAAACATTGTGGGATGAAGTGAGTCGCTTGGGAAGGGAAAGGCATGACTGTGGATGGCTGCCATAAACAGACCCAATAGCTTTGCAGAACAACTTGGCAATACCTACAAATATTCAAAATATAAATAGCCCATACAACATGAATGGAACTTGGCAGCATTGTGTTAAAAAAAAAAGCTATGAAAGTTGTAGAACAGAGACATGGAGCAACTGAAGTGGATGAGTACCGCTCCCGGGCTGGGATAAGAGTGGGAAGTGAGCAGGTGTAAGATTTCTTTTTGAAGTGAAGATGTTCTGGAAGCAGATAATGGGGAATGATTGAAGAGCTATGAAAATTCTTTCAGTGCACATTTAAAAACTGTGAATTTGGGGGTGTGAAAGGGGGCTCAGAAGTTAAGAGCATGCACTGCTTTGTCAGAGGATCTGAGTTGAGTGCCAGTATCCACATTAGATGGCTTAAACCACCTATAACTCCAACTTTGATGTGGGATGGAATCTAACACCTACCTCTGGCTTCTGCAGATACATGCACTCACGTGCTTATACCAACACAAATATACATACATAACTAAATTTTAAAATTTAAATTTAAAATAATTTTTTAAAATAAGATTAATTTTATGGCATGTGAACTATATCTCAGTTAAAATGATGGAATACCATATAGCCTAGCATCTGTATACTCTAAGGTAGCAGTTGACATGCTAAAACCCATAATATGTTTGATAAAATATTTTGGTAAAGTTTGCTTGGCACACAGCCTTGTCCACTCATTGAGCCATGGCTCATGGCTACTTTCATGCTCCTATGACACAGACAACAGTCATTCATTCTGAATACTGATGACATGGTATATGAAACTATTTTCTGTAACTTTCATACTTTTCAAGATATATTTCTTTTCAAACTATAGTTTTCCTGGCCTATGAGTACTTGGTTTTCCCTTTGGGGTCCTATAGGAGATTAGTGAGGCTGAGTAAGTCCCTTACCTGTTGGCTGCAGAGATCGCCTATAAAGAACCGCACCTGGGGATTATCAAACCCTTGGCGAATATCAAATACATTGACAGCATAGCCTCGTTTCAGCAACTGCTCCACCATGTGCTGCCCCAGGAACCCAGAGCCTCCAATCACCGTGCACTTCTTAGCCTGAGGAAAGAGGGATGGCAAGAGGACCAGAGGTATGAAGACTAAAGTGATAAACGTCATGGTCACATGTCACGAACCCTTGCAATGGCATACACATCTGTTTGTCTGTCTGTATGAAACTGCCTGAGTCAGGGGAAAGCTTGGTATAATTGTGTCTGATCACCAGTGTCACCTCATCTCCTGGGCTTAACAAGGGAGAAAGAAAAAACAAATGCCACTAGGCTAGCCTGATACATTTGATCTAAGTTTTATATTTACTGGAAGGGAATTAAAATTCCCACGATCACAGCAGACAATGTAATAAAAAAAAGCAAAAAAGCCTAAGGCAATGACTTCTTGCTCCTGATTGGTAATCCCTGGCCAAAAAAAAAATCTAGCCATTTGAGAGCCACTTAGAGGACAGTGATTTTCTTTGCCTCCATGTGCATAAGGAGGCTCTGGGCTGACCACATAAGCCCCCCCCTCTGCTGGCATCTCCAGGCAGAACTGGGCAGCCATTTATCACTCAGGCTCCACATGCGGGTGCATAAGCATTAGAATTCCAGGATGTCAATGCAAATGTTCACTGACATCTTCTTAATAATCTGGCTACCTGCATTAGTAACCTTTCTCATCACTGTAAGAAGCCACCTATCGGATGCAACTTAAGGAAAGAAGGATTTATTTTGGCTTCTGGTTTATGGGTTAAAGGCCATCAAAGGTGATAGCAGGACACACAGGTGCCTCCACTGCATTCTTGGTTAAAAGACAGGGAGGTGCGCGTGCGCACACACACACACACACACACAAAGACACACACACACAGACACACACACACATACACACACAGACACACACACACCACACCACACTCACACACACGTACAACACACACACACTCACACACACACACCACACACACATACACACTCACACACACACACAGGCCCTCAGCTGGCTTTTTTTTGTTCATCTTTTAATTCAATCAGGGATTCCAGCACATGGATGTTGCCACCAACATTTAGGACAGGTGTTCCTTTGTCAGATAAAAATATCTGGAAACCTTATGGATAGGTCTCCTAGGTGATTACAAATCTAGTTATGTTGACAGTGAAGATTACCCACCACACTACCACTGTCCTTAAAGAGGGCCTGCAATAGCTCTCCTCCCTGGGGTCTTTTCAAAGCGGTACCTGGCCTTCTCTGAGATGACACATCCTACTTTTCTTAGCTTCTATAGTCAGTCAAGGTTGATTGCGTGGATAGTCAAGATCAAAAAGAACTTCTATTCCTTATTACAAAATAAAGCAACCAACCTTCCCTCTTATTTAGTAATTTTTAAAAGATTTATCTTTATTTTACATGTATGGGTGTATTGCCTGCATGTATGCTGGAGCACCACCTGCATGCAGTACCTGTGGAGGTCAGAAGAGGGTGTCAAAATCCTCTGGAACTGGAGCTACAGATGGTTGTGAGCCACTATGTAAATGCTGGAAACTGACACTGGATCTGGAAGAGCATCAGTTGCTCTTAACCTGTCCACCAACCTCCCCTCTTGTACCTTAATCACTGACATACTAATCATTGACATACTCAGGGCTTCTCAGAGCCAGGTACTGTCTGCAGATTTACCTCTACCCTATTCTGAAATGGCTCTCATAATCTGTAGACCTGTTCAGCCTCATCTGCCCACCAACTCTCTCTCAGGAAACCTCTTCCTTTCATCTTTTTCTACCGCAGTTGCACAGTCAAATTGTAAGCACTTAGAATCACTTTGCTTTTTCTTGGTTTATTAAAATTTGGCAAGTGCTCAGAGCTCTCCACTGATGCTCTCTAACACCTCTAGGTTCAGGGATTCCATAAGACTCATAGTCTAATGTTTTTAAATACATTAATTTAAGGGCTTAGTAGTTAAGAGAGTTTGCTATGCTATTGGGAGCCATCATCATTTATTACAGAAGTAGCAATTTATATTCTAGGTGTCAACTCCAGAATATTTGTTACTATGAATTTGGCCATATACAGAATATATACTGGGTGCTTTGTATTCTTAAATAGGGCCTGGAGAAGGAATTCCTTCTCACCGGGTCTGAATCTCACACTACACAGTCTTATCTTTTCCCTCTGATATAGCACAGAGAAGTCAGTTTTAATCAGTTAACAGCACTAGTTGCAAGTCACATCCCCCTGACACTTAAGTCTGCTAGGACATTTTGCAAGTCAAATCCACAGGACAGAAGTGAGGCACCTGCTTTTCTGAGGATCCTATCACCTTCTTGGATCTGCCCTATTGTCAGAGAGTTGTTAAATATGCCTGTGGGTATAAAAACTAGACGAATTGTGGGATAGGAAAAGAAGACCTCAGGAGAACTTTTAGACAGAACTTTTGTAGACTTTTTAGGAAGAACTTTAGAGAATTTTTAAGGAGAACTTTTAAAGAGAAATTTAAGAGAGCTTTTAGACAAAGAACTTTTGGGGAGAGAGTTTTTAGAGAGAAATCTTAAAGAGACTTTTTGAGAAAGAACTTTTTTTTGGGAAGCCTCTATTCTTGAAGAATAAAGAGCCATAAGGGGAATACATGTGTGAACTGGCTTATTTCCATCTTACCCTCAGACTCCTTTTAGAAAAACCCTACCCACCTGCTGTTTAGCATCTAGCCTGAACCTTAAGAGAGCATTGAGGCTGGAACTTGAATGCTCTCGCTACTGTGCAAAAATAGGACATGAGTTCAAATCCCCAGCATCAATGTGAAATGCCAGGCCATATTAGGCAAAACAGTAATCTAGTTTAGAGTATAGTAGTTTGAATAAGAATGTTTCCCATAATCTTGAGCATGAATACCTTGTTCTCAGTTGGTGATATGTTTACACGATATGGCATTGCTGAAAATATGTCACTAGTGGTGGGCTTTGAAGTTTCAAAGTCATTCCCAGTACTCTCTCTTGGCTTCATGCTTGTGATTCAACACGTGAATGCTCAGCTTGCTACTTCAGCCACCATACCTTCCTATTGCCAAGCATCCCCACAGTGATGGTATTGGATTTCTATCCCTCTGGAATCATAAGCCCAAATAAACCCCTTATTCTATGAGTTGCCTATGTCATGGTATTTTATCATAGCAGTAGAAAAATTATTATGGTGAGAGACTGTCTAAAAACATAAGGCAGAGAGCAATAAAGATACCCAATGTCTTCCTCTAGCTTCTTTGTAAACATATGTATGTATATCTGGATACTCACTTGCATAAACCACACAAGTGTAGATATGCCCATATATATACACACATTTAAAAAAGCCCTCATAATATTGTATTTGTTTATGCATTTATTTATTTATTGAAACAGGGTCTACGTATCCATGGCTGTCTTGGAATTCCTTATGGAGACCAGACTGGCATTGAACCTACAGAGATCTGCCTGCTTCCCTCTCCCATGTCCTGGAATTAAAGGTGTGTACCATCATGCCTAGATCTCATTTCCAGATTTTAAATGGGACTACATATTAATCAACTCTTAGACAGGATGACATAGATTCCCTCCTGTACTGATATATCATATTGATACTGCTTGGGACAACTGAGTCGATGGCTAGTCAGTAGAGTTTTATAGTGGTGAGATTCAAACTAGCCTCTGCTAGTTTGCCTTTAATCATATGTCTAAGGCTATGTAAGGAGGCCATGTGAAATAATCACTAACTTTTTGTGGTGACAGCAGACAAAAAAAGAGAATAAGTAGTAATAAAAACATGAAATTTTGGATAGAAAGCAAGTAGTGAGAGTTTAGAATGGACTAAACAGATAAATTAGCATATGATAGTGTTAACAGCAGGAGAAGAATGGGCTCACAGTGGGGTGTACAGCTCAGTGATAGAACATATCTGTTAGGCTATATGTTTAGTTTCCAGCACCACGAAATAATTTAATTCAATTGTAATCTATTGTCAAGAGCATAGCTGGGGCCCCTGGGTTTTCTCCAATCTTTCTAGTTTTACTTTTTCTTGAGCAGGATGACTACATATGAGACTAAAAGTATCCTTTCTTAGTAGCTTACATTTAGACATTTATTTCTTAGGAAGTCACTCAGTAGAAAAGAGCTTATTCCAAAGCATTAAAGGAGGTTGAAGAACTGGGTGGTGGTAGCCCATGCCTTTAATCCCAGCACTTTGGAGGCAGGCAGAGGCAGGTAGATCTCTGGGAGTTTGAGGCCAGCCTGGTCTATAAAGCAAATTCCAAGACAGCTGGGTCTACAGAGACCAAAAATCAGAGAGAGAGAGAGAGAGAGAGAGAGAGAGAGAGGGAGGGAGAGAGAGAGAGAGAGAGGGAGAGATAGAGGGAGAGAGAGAGGGAGGGAGGGAGGGAGGGAGGAAGCAGTTTGCTATGATGATTTTTGGGCATAGTCTTCAACCAAAGATGTCCACATGAAACCTTATTTAAGCACTACACCAAAACTAGATTTATCTGGTGGACCCAAAACCATCTTGAAGAATATATAACTTATGAATATTTGATAGATATATTTTAGAAGTATGATGTTTTTCAAAAGTGAACTACATCACAAAAACTTGAAGACCTGATGTATGTGAAGAACCTACAGAAGGCTTGACAACGATGATGTAACAATTCCTTCAAGTCTTTTCTGAGACTCAAGAAACTAGATCATAGGGGCTACTGCCATCATCTGGGAAGAGTTCTACCATTCTGCTAGTCTAGGTAAACCAACATGTCTAGCTGACAGCCATTACTATCATTGCATGCATGAGTATACTATGGAACATGCACACCAAAGGTCCCTGCATGGCTGCAGGTACATGAATAAGCCCAGGGAAAACTGGTATAAAATCACCCAACTGGATCTACAGTAATGAGCAAAGGTATTAGTACTTCAAAAATTATTTTATTATTTTGTGTGTATAGGTGTTTTGCCTGCATATATGTCTTTGTACCATGTGCATGCAATGCCCTCAGGAGGCAGAAGAAAGGGATGCCCTAGGACTGGAGTTACAGATGGTTGTAAGTTACCATGTAGGTGCTGGGGACTACATCTAGTTCCTCTGCAAGAACAGTTGGTGCTCTTAACCACTGAGCCATCATTCCAGATCCAATTACTGCTTTTTTAAAACACCTGCTTTCTGATTTTTGTTATACTGCAATAAGTAACAGGCATATCTTAAATCAAGCTATACAATACACAAAACACAACCAACCAGCATTGTCTGAACAAATTAATTAAGTACATTTTAAACTGCATAGGTAATATCAATGGTTTGGTTTTCCCCTACCTTTTTGTTTCGTTTTTCTACACAGGGTTTCCCTGTAAAGCTCTGGCTGTCCTGAAACTAGCTCTGTAGATCAGGCTGACCTTGAACTCACAAGAGATCCGCCTGCCTCTACCTCCCAAGTACTGAGATTAAAGGCATGTGCCACCACAGCCTGGTCTCCCCTACTTTTTAATGCTAGTACTTACTTTGGAAATGTCTTTTGCCAGATGTTTCCCTGTGACCTGGCCTCTCTTTGACTCACCACCGACTGCTTGTTCCATTATGGCTCAAACTATACTCTTGTTTGCAATCAACTCTTCTTCCTAAAGACGTAAATAGAGAAAGACATTAGTAGTATGTGAAGCAAAGAATCTTTAGGTGTTAAGACTCACAAACAGCTGAGTCACAGCCATACCTACAGGCCAAAGTACCCTGTGCATATCCCTGTGCTATAGGCTGCTCTCCCCTTAATTTACAGAGTACTTGGACTAGAGGCAGGGAGGAAGCCAGATAAGTAACCTCCTTCATTAGTCATACCAAAAATCTTTAATTTGTGAGTGGAGAATGGTGGCAAACAAGCACTTCACCACGGGAAATAAGAGTAACCATGTGCAATGATGCTCCCAAACAGAAAACTGCAGCCCAGGTGAAGGCCTAATCATATACTCCTTCTTCTGTTATCTAGAGTAGCAAGTTGAAAACAAAGAATGTATTTACTGATACAATATGTGTTAATGGCAAGATGTACCAGAAATAAAAGAGTCCACCCATGAAGGAAGGTGCAGAGAATGCCACTGGGGAAAGAAGTGGCAGGCAGCCAACCCTGACTGGGTCTTATGATGGCTCCCATTCAATTTTCACAGCCTGACACTTTTAATCAATATTGTCTTCCAGTGACGGAGAGATTAAGTGACCTTTTCATGGAAAATCTCTGTGAGAGTCACAGGGAGGGAAAGCTTCCCACAGGTTTAGAGCCCTGCTGTTTTAAATCATCCTAGGAGATGAATTCTGTGCAGTCTGGAAACACAGAGCACAGCTGCCACCCCCATCCCACACTAGTCCATTCATATATCCTCCCCACTTGTTCAAAGGAGGACACAGGAAATAAAAGTAACATGTCCCACCCTAGTGTAGTCACAGTGCTCAAATGATGATCATATGGGTCTTAGCATACCAGTTTCTTGTCAAAACTAAACCTACATTGTCTCAAATTTTACACCAGCTATCTGAGAGTAAATACTGTGAGTCACTAAAGAATCCTGATGATAGCTTTTCTGTCTGTAGGTCTTGGGGTTTCAGAACTAGTGTAATGCTTAGTCAGATTCCACTGGCATTCCCTTTCCCCTGCCTGCTGTCTGAAATGCACTGAGTGTTCAAATGCATATTAGGAATAGCTCTTAATGAGCAGGCATTTCTCCAGAGAAGATAGACTTAAAAGATAGCAAGCAAGCACATAAAATTGATGCAACATTACCAATCATTAGAGAAATGCCAATCAAAATCTCAGTAGGACCATCTCATATCCATTAAGAGTACTACTATCAGAAGCCAGAAAACAGCAAATAAGTGTTGGTGAGGTCAGGAAAACCTGGCATACTCATGTGAGGCTAATGGTAAAATGGTTTATCCACTGTGGAAGTTTGGCAGTTCCTTACAGAATTAAACAGAAGTACCATGTGATCTAGCAGTTATATTTCAGAGTATAAACCCCCTAAATGGTATGTGGGGATCTGGCGCTGACAATCCTATATTCATCTTCACAGTAGGACTGTTCACTGTAGCCAAAAAATAAAAGTAATCTAAATTTACACTGATAGATGAAATGATAAAATGTAGTTCATTTAAATCATACAGCACGGTATTATGCAGTTATAAAGAGGAACAAAATTCCGACACATGCAACAACCTGAATGTACTCTGAAGGTATCATATTAAGTGAAGTAAGCCAGGCACAAAAGAATAAGCACCATCTAATCCCACAACCACAAGGTAGGCGAACTCACAGAAACTCAGAGTAGATGGTATCTCGTAGTAGTTGGCAGTGGTGGGATAGGGAAGAGCTGCTAATACACAGAGTTTCAGTGTTGCAGCAGGGAAATATTAGAGTGGAGTTGGTGTCCTTGCCCTACAGTGGGAATAGAGTACAAAAATGTTTAAAATATTGCAATTTTGGTACTTCAATTTGATCACACACACACACACCAGAATTGCATAAAATACTGAAAAGTGGACCTCAAAGAATAAAGTCCTACGGTTTTGTGGGCTGTGATGGTTGCCATGCCAGAAGCCTCAAGTCTGGTTTATGGTGAAACTTCGAATCCATCAAAAGCCAAACTATACATCATACACTGGGATAAAACCATAAGACTATACGCTACTAAAGACTGTTTGAGACGACTGACTGTAAAAGTACAGTGAAGGGAGGGAGGTTTACGGCTCTGGAAGGAGTTAAGGGGAGAATGAAGAGTGAATATGATCAAAATGCATTGCCAATGCAGGGCATAGTGGCACACACCTTTAATTCCAGTAGTCAGGAGGCAGAGGCAGGCGGACCTCTGTGAGATTGGTCAGCCTGGTCTACAGAGCTAGTTCCAGGGCAGTAGGGGCTACATAATGAGACCCTATCTCAAAAAAAAAAAAAAAAAAAAAATGACAAAAAAATTGTATACATCAGTGACAAAAATTCTCAAAGAATCAACCAAAATAGTATATTTTTTAAAAAGTTCATGGGGTGGGTAAGGTCTATGCAGGAGAGTTTATCAGTCATGAAAGCAGTGTCTTGGGTGGGATGAGGAGGTGGGTACCAGTATGGGTATGACGAGAGGAGGAATTGCATGCCAGGCATTGCAGACTTTGGTGAGAACTCCAGCTCATACTGCCGATGAAGGGCTGGGGAGGGGCAGAGAAAAAAAAAAAAAAAAAAAAAAAAGAAAGGACACTTCAAGGACAGAACTGAGAAAACCGAGAGGCTCGATATGAGGGACTGCTGCTGGCAAGGACAGAAGAGTCAAATGGGACACAAAAGTTTTTAATCTGGTTCATGGCTCCAAGGAAGGAAAGCAATGGCCTACATTACATTTATGGGGTGCTGTTAAGTGTCTGGCCTTTTCTCAGTTTGTGAGACTGATGCTATGTCCTTAATGTCCCTAAACTAATATTCTATACCTTGAGGGAAGAGGGTGTGACAGCTGAGGTGCTGCTATAGCTGACCCTGGACCTCCATTAAGTCTGGAACAGTTCCAGGTACTTCTATACCCCTGCACACATTACTCTTTAATGCTCTATGAACCCATCATTTCCAAAATTCCCGTGGCTTTGCTCTAAAGGAGGTTTCATTCAGAAATGCTCCTCATGTGATTTGAGTGTCTGCACGTCTAACGCAGCCCATTTTGATGACTTTTCTAGACCCAGAAAGTCCCCAGTTCATCATCCTGAGAACTAAATTCACAAAGGCTCGCCTGGATTCGGTTTGTACGCCACAGCCCCGTGAACCGCTGACGCAATGGTTGGCATGCCCGTTCCTCCTTTCTAGGCCTCTGCTGCCCCATTCAGTCACCCCTCCAACCCATTAGGCCAAATCTTTCCCGGCCCCTCAGGTGCTCTGTATTCCCATCTCGGGTTTTAGAACATCCCATCTATCCCTTCTCACTTTTCCCAGGCTACGTCGCCCACACGCAGCAGCCTCCCAGAGCAAGGCCGCAACTCTTACCCGGTTTAGGAACTCTTGCAGCCGCCTTCAGCTTGTTAGCAAACTGCAACCAGCGAACTTCAACCCAAGACCCAACACCCTTTTCTACCGAGAGGTATGAGCCCATGATCAGCCGAGCTTCCTTCCTCACGTTGATTGGTCTAGCGCGGCTTCGGCGCAGCCAGTTGACGCTCACAGCGCGAATTTGTCCAATGAGACTGGCAGCCTTTGCCGCCACCACACTGTTCTTTTACACTTGGGCGGGCTTTGCCATCTTAGTCCCACCTGCTCCTTCCGCAAACCAATGGGAAGTGTGTCGCTCGCGCTCTGAGCAGTGGGAAAGACGCCGAGGCCGCGAGTACGCCGTTGCCTTAACAACCGATCGCAGAGGAGTCCATTTGGCGATGGTAAGTGCTGGGCGTTCCGTGGACCCTGAGTGGCGCCTCAAAGCCCTTCCTAGGCCTCATTGCGGCCCTGCAGCCTTTCCTGCATTGTTCTTCATCTTGGCGTACTAGTTCTTCCTTGGAGTTCCAAGCCGGAAGGGTAGGAGAAAAAGTACAGCCTCCGGCCGCTAGCCTGCATGCGCTTAACCACTGCCCCCCTTCTCTGCCTCCCAGGCACCTTCATCCACCCCTAACCTGCCTCGTAATCTCTGCTGGTTTTCCTGGAACCGCAGGTGACCATTTTGTTGCAGGGAACACGCAGACTCCTACTTCAGTCAGACTCAGGCCTCCTGGCCGCTGCCACCTACTAAAGTTTATGCATGATGCTAAGAGGTTTAGTGTATTCTGATGTTTGCAAATGTATTGAGGCTTTCAGGAGATGCTTTGAGCTTGGTATTCTCAGACAAGGCACCAAGTGCCAAATGCATTGAGAATTAGCATCACAAATAGATGTTTTAACTACCTGGCTAGAGCTGAGCTGGATTCAGGGGCAGTTGATATCTGTTAAGTATTCATGCATGATTGGTTTCTCAGTTAACTCTCAGGATGAAGAATGAGGGATTTCCTGGCTTCTAAAATCAATACTTTGGAAAGATTAATTGTTCTTTCCAGGAAACTTCATTATTGCTCAATTCTTTATAAACTGTTTTCTCATTAATCAGCTGTCTGAGCAGTGGCATTAGAATAGGGAGGGATCGTTTTTCATCTTTGGTAATGAAACTGAAGCCACACCATGCTGGTTTAATTGAATATACAATATAGAAATATTCATAATAAATTGATAAGCTTGTTCCTTTCAAACAAATGTGGTCTCAAATTTGCTGTTTACTAGCTTTAGAAAAGGAGGAGAAAATTGAGGCATGTTCAACCTTTATGTAAAAATGATTTAAAGAGTTTTTAATGCTGCTTCTTTATATTTACAATTCTTTGATTTAAGACATTTTGATTAAAAATTTAATTAAATTTAATTTCCTAAAGTAACATGTCTATTAAAGGTATAAGTACATAAACTATCTATCCTCTAATGAAAAACTGCTCATGTTAACACCAGAAATTTGTATTCATATAGTCACTTGTTGTATGTTGATCTATACAAGAACAAGGAGGAAAAATGGTAATATATTATTTTAAAATAAAAAGTCCCTTCAAGCTTCTGTCTCCCCAATGAAATATAGCTGGATTTAATCATGTGAGACATTACATCATTAACAGAAATGATGTTTTAATGTACAGTTATGGTAGAAGATAACCATATTTAATTAGTGTATTGCTGATTTTCTGTTTTTTACAGTGTGGTGGTAAAAGCTGAAATATACTTATTAAAACAGTTTTAAATTAAAGTTTTTCTCTTTTTCTTCTCAGAGGAGTTTTTTTTAGACTTGGGGTTAATTTTACTTAGTTTTTACCCTTGCTGACATTTGTGCAAGGGAGACGGGGAGTATGACTTAGCCTGAGCATGAAGGTCAGAGAATAACTTCGAAGAGTTGGTTCTCTCCTACCATGTAAGTTCTGGGTTCTCACTTATGTTGTCAAGCTTGGCAGCAAGACATCTCACCAGCTTATGAAATTTTACAGAATGACATATGTGCATTACTCAGAGTGGAGCATAAATGAAAGATTTATGAATGTCTAGAACTGTCATAAATAAAATATTGACTATGCCTTGTAATACTGTGCTTCTGTGTTTGTGTAATGTCTGAAGGCCTCTAATTTTAAGAAGACAAACATGACATCCAGTGGCCAGAGAAAAAGAATGAGCCCTAAGCCTGAACTGACTGAAGAACAGAAACAGGAAATCCGGGAAGCTTTTGATCTCTTTGATGCTGATGGAACTGGAACTATAGACATCAAGGAACTAAAGGCAAGGTGCACACATTCCTGCTTTGGCACTTTGTGTTTCCCTGTTGTTTGTCTTTTACCTATCCTTTCTCTCTTCTTGTAAAAAGTAACAGAAGAAGGTAACCTGTGTATATTTTGCCTGAATCAATGATCTAATTGATAAAGCTGACTGCAAATATAAATTAAATTAGCATTACAGTGTTCCCTCATCATTTTTTTTTATCATTTTGTCAGGTGCTAGGTTAATATCCTCAATAGTCATTTTTGCTTCTATACCAGTTATATGTGTTTTTTTTAGATTTTTCTGTTTCATTGTAGGTTGCAATGAGGGCCCTGGGCTTTGAACCCAAGAAAGAAGAAATCAAGAAGATGATAAGTGAAATGGATAAGGAAGGTACAGGAAAAATGAACTTTAGTGACTTTTTGACAGTGATGACTCAGAAAATGGTAAGTTAATTGAGATAAGGAGCAAACTTTTTATCCATAATGGTACATACATGGGAACATAGACATAAAAATAACTTTATTCAATAAAATCTATACCATTCACATGCTTAAGGATTGTATTATTAATTGAGGAGATCCCTAAGTTTCATTTCACTTTCTTTAATGTTACAGCATTACAGAAATTATTTTACCTTGTCTCTTATGGCCATATGGTAATCACAAGCACTAAAACATGTTAACACAGATTTGGAAATGCTTCTCATTTTTATTTTAATAGTATTAAAAATTAGATTAGCATACAATAAATCAGGTATTATGACATTTTCAGACAAATGCTTCTCATTTTGGCAATTTAGTATGTGCAATCACACATACTAAAGAATTTTGAGCTTTAGAATAGTTAAGGTGTTTTGGTACTTTTAAAGTTTCTTTCATCTATCCCTAGTTTCTCAGATCCTATTAGCAGGTCCAAAGGTTTGAGAGAACATGATCATGTCACCTAAACCAAACCAACTTTTCTCTTTCATTGACCTTCTGGCTTGTTGGTGTGGCTCCTTCTCTCAGTATGCCTGGAGAAAGGTAACCCCTTCCATGTTCCCCAAAGTGTTTCCCAGGCACAGGCCATACCTCTTTAACAGTTGAGTTACCTTGAAATCACCATATGTATATCTATGTGCATGTGTGTACTGATTTAAGAGATCAGGAAGCTTAGTATTCTGCTGTCCCCTAGCAAATCCAATTGATACTCAAGATTGGTTCCTATATTGCTCTAATTAGTTCTCTACTTGTTGCTCCTGGCAAGAACCTTCCTGAAACATTTGAGGTATAAATGCTTTTGGAAATTCTGTTCTCTTTATGTTGGGACCCAGTAATTCTTTGAAATCCATTGTACAAAATGCCTCTTTCTTATTAAAAATGCTCTTATAAGTACATCTCTATCTTCTGTTAGCATAAACACTGTTTGTTTCTAATTATAACCCTACTTACTGCTTTTAAAAAATTTAAAGTTGAATCTAGAATCTCCTTGGTTTATATAGTGTTTTAGATTCAATTACATTTCCTTTGTAATCCCTGAGTTTATGTTCAGTTTACTGAATTTGTTTTCTTTTTCTACAATGGATCATACTTTTTTCTATGACTAAAGGCACATGTCACAACAGCTATCACTAGGACCATGAGATGATGTGGATGGGGCCAGGGAATTAATCTAAGAAGATAGTTTCCCTAAAACTCCCCCCTTGGCTTTAGAACTGGGGAAAGTTCTGAACAAGACAAAACACAGGAAAGGCAATCGGTATAGATAGATACCTAGTAATATCCAGTGTTGGGTGCTGGAAAGATGAGCCCCATCTCACGTCAGAAGCCCTTGTCTTTTACTTTAGAAAACTGTCCAGTTGCACTAGGAGTCAGTCCTCCCTACATGGTTCATTGGCCCCTCAAACCAAGCTTCATTCCCATTTATCAGCACTTGTTGGCTTTTCTACCAAGATGGCATCTTTTTCTACTGAATTTTGAGCTGATTATGAAATAGATGATGGGAAAAGAAGTAGCCAGAGAGTACATTGCATTGTAGACCAGAGAAGCTGGCTTGCCTGGCTTTCTACCATGGCTCAGTCAGGTTTTTGGAGACAAAAGGATGACCAAAAGTGGCAGGGCTTTAGTAACTATCTGTTTTATGTTATACTAAAGTCCGAGAAAGACACCAAAGAAGAAATCCTGAAGGCTTTCAAGCTCTTTGATGATGATGAAACGGGGAAAATATCATTCAAAAATCTGAAGCGTGTGGCCAAGGAGTTAGGCGAGAACTTGACCGATGAAGAGCTGCAGGTGAGTAAAGCCTCAGTCAGAAACTCAAACCCCTCCCACCTTGGAGCCCCCTGCCTATCCAAGGTTCTATTTTCTCTACTAAGAAAACTTCTTATGCCTCCAGTGATAATTTGATAGCCATGGAACCTTCTTCTGGAACACACATGTGTGGCTGAATTTCCTCTTTTGTGTTTCAGGCCAGGGTGACTTTCTAGCTCCTTTTCAGTTGATGCATTTGATAATATGTATGGTTTAGTTTTCAAAAAACTATCACAAAAAGTGGCACACTCACAGTAGATGAACCATAGTTGTCTCTCCTTACAGCATTATTTGAAGTTTCTTATCTAATCTCTTTAAGTTTAGTTGTGACTTAATCTAAGATGAACCCTTACTACTGTACAGGAAATGATTGATGAAGCTGATCGAGATGGAGATGGCGAGGTCAATGAGCAAGAGTTCCTGCGCATCATGAAGAAGACCAGTCTCTATTAAGATCAGTGCTTCTTTTTCTACTGCAAGCACATGTGACTAGATTTAGTGCCTGCCATTTTGTGAAATATGGCTTTTGACAACCCCCTCCCCCTAACCTCTGGGGTAACTAGCCGTGACCTTGAATCTATTTTTGACTTTTGGAAGTTCCTTTGATATTAGGTT